GATTGTACCACTGTTACCGGAATACCCTGTATGTATGTAATACTTTAATTCATAAGTATAATATTTAAAATCGTTTGTGATTTTGTACCTCGGCAACCAACAATGAAGGTATGGCTTTGATTTATGTACATAACTGTTGTAATTTAAATATTCAGAATATTTTAATATTTTATACACAACTATTTTAATTTAAGCTCTCGAAGTGCAATCTGTGCTACTATAAGGATATAGCGAAATAACAAACGAACTCCAAATTGACTTTGACAGCCTCATAAGAGAAAACTAGGAATCTCCTGTAGCGAAGAAACTATTTTTTTTATGCATTCTTTTCCAACAAATTCTTTGTATAATAATAATGAGTGCTGCAGCGACCGATTTTACGATTTTGCTTTTAAAACTTTATAAAACATGCATACTTATATGTTTTCTTTTATTGTACCTTCCCAGATAACAAATTATAATATTAATAACTATATATAGTATTATAATATCAATTATAGTATTATAATATAGTATTATAATTTGTGCAAGAAAAAATATAATGAACCAGTTGAAAAAGTGAATTTATATTTATTTTTAATGGAATTACATATTGCTCTTTACATTTTTCGGAATACTGCGTAAGAAAAGTATTGGGGTACAATATCTAAAAATGAACCATTTGTAGAATATCAAGTTTTTGTACAAAATATTTCATTTTTATACTTAAAATATACCACGTATTATTAATTATTTTAATATCACATCTTATATACTTTTTTTTACACAGAGTATTCCAAAAAATCGATCCATGTAAAAAAAAGATATGTCGTCCCGTTAAAAAATTTAAATATAACCTTCATAGGATTCATAATAGTCAGTATCATCTATTCCCTGCGTTATCTTATAACTTTTATTTTAAATATCTGTTTATAACTACATATTTTCAAGAAATTTCACTGTACTCACTTAAGTCAGATGCATCGCATGTTAAAATAATTTGGCAAAGAAAATAAATAAGAAATTGGATAGAAAGGAAAAATTTTCAGATTGAATTAGGCTTAAGATATACAGAGGTCAGGAATAAAAATACCTATTGGTTTTTTTTTAAACAATGTACAATTGTTTTTATAATTGTGTTCGCGATTATTATTATCTCTCACCATGTATTATAATACGTCAGTTTTATTTTACAGATCTACACTTTATACAAATTGCTTAAGCACTGCGATATTCAGGTTCCTTTGCATTTCATTATTTTTTCCATATTTTTCTATTTTTTTTTTTTTTAAATTCTCTGTAATTTACAAGTCAAATGTATTTAATATTTATACAAGAAAAATTGTAGATTATTCTTTCACATTACTTGTAAATTTGTCACAAAATTGCAATTATTACAAACTATTGAACATAGTTTGTTAAACTGTGCGTACAAAGAAAACTGTAAAACTCCTTCAATTTTAATATATTTTTTACTTTCGTTAATCATAAATTTATTTTCTGTGCAAGTGAATTAAGAATGTATACAATGTATACAAGGCTGCAATAATTTACTATAAATTCAAGTATATGTAATAATGTACATAAACAGTGCTCTATGTACGCAAAGTTAAATTTGAAGGAGGAATATATATGGCAATTATTTATTACATTTTTCTATCCAGAAATTCTTTTATATCACAAATATTAATATTTTAGTTATTTATCTATGACAGAACTTTTCTTCTCTTTCTTATATAACTGTATAAGGTATAAGCGTTTTGTTTACAATTCAAGTTTATTTTTATTAAATCTACTAAGCAGTATTTTTGGTTACTTGTTCTTTGCTCTTTTCTTATAAAAACTACGCCTCATGTAAAAGTGACAAACTAAGTATTCAAAAATTTGAATAAAAACCGAATGTTTGCCAAACGTTCATTACTATTCACAATATAGTAGCAATTATAGACAGGGTGAGTTAAATAAAGTGTTGCAACAGTGATATCCAATAAAGTTTCGATCTTTCATCATACCGTTTTTTTTCTCTTTAAATTAGTTGCGATAGATAAAATATCGAATACAGCTAATTATCTTTTACCATAATTTACTTGATGACAAATAATTCAAATTAAAGGAAACTATATAAGTCAATGGTATGTTACAAGTTGTTTTCTTTGGAATTAAAGTAAACATCAATTTCCTTTCAATTTTAATAATTCGATATGATGTGTAACGAATTTCTTTGATACAGCTGCTAGAGAAACAAAGGGGCCTTCACCCTGACTAGTTCTTTCAAATACATCGAGAAACAATTAAATATAATTTTTAAAAAATCTATCCTTTGATTTTCATAAAACTTAGTAAAATTACTCCAAATAATCGCGAATGAATACATGTAAAAGTATTTTTGGCGCATGCATTTCTTCTAGATTTTTTCGTCAAATGTTATCTTTGTAGAAATTTAAAAATAACCATATGTGTACGATTCCTTTTTTAGATTTAGATGAGCTACATGAACTACTACTTACACGCGTTTTATTATATCACAATAGTCATGTTTTCAAATATTCTTACACATTTTAAATTTCGCTTTTTCATGATCTGAATTGAGAATAAAGTCGTGTGTTTAAGTTGTTTTTGACATAATTTGAAGATATACATGGTATATTTAAAATTTAATCCAGCTTCCTGCACCGCTAAAAATGGCTTTAAATAGGATTGAGACGAAAATGGTACGGTATTAATAGTGGCAGATAACAAATGAAATATGAACTTAACTTCGAATGATCTTCCCAAGGCCAGATCAATGTTATTAATATTTTTTTAAGCATATATTTGTAGCATATATTAAATATGTTTCATTGAGTATTTTTCGAATTCGAAGTTTTCAATACTTTGACATAAAATGTAAACCATTTTGTAAAACATTTGTTTTTTAGTAATACTATTTTAACATTTTTATATACAAGATTTCGAGAAGAATTAATTGGGTGAAAAAAGTATACAGTTGCTTTTAAAAAAAAGATTAAAATTTGTATTATGTAACTGCCTATTATATGAATTGATACAATTTACTATTTTAAATAAAACTAAAAAAATAAATATTTTATACAATATACAAACCTCATAACTCAAAATATATATAACATAAACATACTTTGTTACAGTATTAAAACTCTTGAGGAAAGCGTCATGAATAAACAATAAAAGAAGGGTTATTCTGTTTAAGAAAATATTAAACACATTGACTTAATCGTAGGAAACTTAGTTACTCAAGGTTAAATTCATATTTTTCTCACTTGCCCTCTTGAATATTCTATAACTAATATTTCAGACATTCTTCCATATCTGATGCCATTTCCGAGTATTTAGGAGTTTATTTAAGTTTCATAAAAGTGAAGAAGTGAACATATTAACATTACATCCAAAGAATTGTACACTGCTTCAAAACCATTTTCAAAAAAATATCACCTAAGAATTTGAAGAAAACAATTTGTAACACTTTACTTAGTCTACCCTGTATACATACAAAGAATTATTCTCTTTTCCTCAACTTAACTTTTGAATTGATGCAAATAGTACTTGAAAATAAGCTATTAAATTTGATTGTGTGTTGTGTTATACAAACATATATTAATGAATGAAAGCGAGCGAGGGCGTATTTCCGCGCGCGCGCGCGCGTATGTGCGTGTGTGCCTTTAGTATTTATTTATACTTCTCTGCCTCAATTAAAATTATATTATGTACATTGTACGCTATAGATATTTATATACAATTTTTCTGCACAATATTATCTCTTCTAAATGCACTGCCTATTATTATTCTATAATTTATTATTACAAAACTTGCCTATTTTAAGATTTAAACAAATTTGCTGAAAATGATAATAATAGTAATAACAATACATGCGACTACAATTTTAAATGAGAAAATAATATAAAACATTACTTACGATCAATTTTACAATAATAAGTATCGACTAACTGAATTTTTTAATCATATCATTAAATCTTAATTATTGATTTAAAAGTTATAAACTGTATTAAATAACGAAGTTACAATAACAAAGAAAGAGGAGTTAATATTGTTAGAATAAATGTACATTTTCAATTTGAAAATATTATTTTGATAACGGTATTATAAGTGTTTTCTTTTTAAGTAAACATGTGAGCTCGTTCTCCTTCGGTATGAACATGATTTCAATGTACAATTATAACATAGACAAGGTAAAGGAATAAAGGAAAATATTATATGAGCGAAAATCTATTTATTTACACCTATATAAGATTTATGTCATAATTTTCAAAAAAATTATAGTGAAAATAAGTATCGTTACACTAAATGTATTTCCGCGCAATTAAGAACATAACTACACATGCTTACTAAAATAGCATAACTTTAAAAAAACTAAAAAATGTCTTGCAATATTATTGAAATTATATAATAATCATTTTTCGTACATAAGAACTTTGTTATTTACATGTGGTTTCTTACATTCACAGGAGAACACTTGTCTCTATAATTTTTTATTAACACTTCTTATAAAAAGTGTGAAGAGTGTTCAAATTCCATCAATTGATTAATAATCGATTCCATTTTATATACACAAATACAGTTAGGGAAAAGTCTGTGCTTTCAATTCTTGCCAAATTTTTCATTTTCAAATTTTGGTACAATATGCCCTATACTTTGTTCCTGCGTACATGATGTTTTAGGGAAAACTTTTAACGTTTCTAAGTTACATAAATATTAGTAAAAAAGAAAATACCTTTTTTATTAACATTGTTTCTCAACAACGATTCATCTACCTTATAGGTAAATCTTTAATTTTAAATTAAAAAATCTTGCTTTTACATTAGGTCGAAAAGGCCACTGTTCAAGGCCACAGGCCAAGAAAATTAAATTTAATTAACGAGAAGAATTATTACATTTCTTCGTTTCCGTTAATTTTCATTTTTATTTGTAATTCTTAATGACAATAATGGCATTTTTTTAACATCCTGTACATTGGAAGATATTTCTATCGAGCATATTGATATTTAAAGTAGGCAAAATTACCATACATCTGTCCTTTATACATCTGGCATTTATACTTTCACATTTCAAACACACTCATGCATTGAATAATACAAAGTGTGATTTCAAAAACGTCTCAAAGTTGTTAAATGCTGAAAAATACAAATTATCTATTAAGTTTAATTGTAGCTGTAACTTTTAGCTACGAAGTACTAATCATATGTACAAAATGAATAGCAAAATATTCAAATATTAAATTCCTGTTAATTGTACCTATTTACAAGACCTTTTCTATTTGACCTTATTTATAAATCAATATTATCTTAATTTTCTAAAATTACTATTCAGTACCTCAAATTAAAACCATGATTCATAGTATAAATGTATTTCTTGATAACTTATATTGGCAAACTTACCGAAATTTCATGTAACTCGATGAAGGTTACACTTCGGTATATACTGATTAGTATCCAAATGCCAACCTTTTGTTAATGCACAAGGATAATGGGTAACAGCTTTACAACCTCGTTTAACACAACCAATATTTGCTCCTGTTAAACCACAAGAATCACATATCGATTTCGCTGCATCCCACACCGCCTCTTGTAAACCTGTCACTCTACCACCTATGAAATGAAACATTTCTTTTTAAATTCTTCCAAAATCGACTACTTTAATACATTTAAATACACTTAAAATAATGTATAAACCAACTGTTAGTCATTGTACCTGCCATATATACTCCAGCTGCCCAAACGGCACACTGTTCATGAAGCCAAACTTCCCAACGTTGTTCTTCTCCAGGAAGTACAGTCATTCCAGTAAATATAGCGTTAGTATTACTTTCAACGGAATTTCGTTTCTTTTTACCCATTTTTGCAGTAAACTGATCAGCTAATCCAGCGTACCTCAAACTTCTTTTATTTTTACTACCTTTTTTCTGCTCTGTAGTAATCTCTTGCTCATCAGCAGAAAGAATTCCATCTTCTAAACGCTCTTTACCAATTAAATAGGGCCCAAATAAATCACTCAAAACTCCAGCTGGAACCTACAAAGTCGATAGATATTATTTATACAATTGCAACTCGTATTAATAATTAACTTGAAAAATATTAATACAATTATTAGTAAAGGTTATAACATACAATGTAGCTTCCGGGCGCTATGTGTGGTCCAGCCAAATTAGGATGTGGTCTAGAAGGATCTCCAGGTATGACAGCGTGAGGACCTTGTTTACAAAATACACAAACCCACGTGGAGTCTGTTGTATGCGCATCATAACGTGATGACAACGTTGAACTAAAAAGACCCACTCTACTGACTTTGCCTAAACAAAAAAAAATCGAAAAATATTATTTAACAGCTTCTTTTTGTATGTACATATCTGCACAAATTTTGAATAATTAAAATGACATACCTCTATAATCTAAATCATTTTGGTGACTGAGTCTCTTACTCCTTCCTGCACTGCCATTTCCCACACTTTTTCGTTTCTCTTTACTTTTTTCTTCTTCTTCCTCTCTTGGTGCATTAACTACTTGAATACTTAGTGGACTATCTCTAGGACCTTCAACATGAACTACTGGTCCACGAGATCTAATAGAACTTGCATTTGACCCAGAGTCATATGTTACTTCTCTTATTCCATCTACTTTAACACTTTTCTTCGTCCTTTTTGAAGCTCCTTGTTTTTTAGAACTTTTAGACAATCTCCTTTTTTTGATTTCCTTCTGTGGTGTATCATTACCGACAGTTCCAAAAATATTTTCAGAGGATCTTGAAATTTTTCGTTTACCTGCTTGAACTTTAGTTTTTTTCCCCTTCTTGTCGGATAATTTTGTGTCAACAGTAGATGAAACATCAGTAGGATTAATACAATGTAATTCTTTTGTGTGTAGAACATTATTTTCTAGATTTTCAGTTTTTGTTGTACTACTTGTTTGAAGCTCAGATTTTGTAAATTCTGTCACGGGTTCTTCCTTCTTAACATCTGCTTCTGTTTCAACAATACCAGCAAACATTTTTTCAAGTTCAGATTCAACTTCATTAAATGGATTTGTATTATTTACAGCCTTTGGACTCATTATTTTTACAAATTCAGTAGCATCGTCGCTAGATTTTCTTCTAACCCTCTGATTTGAAGGTGTTGAACTAGGAGGTATATTGTCACTACTTCTACGCCTTCTAATTGGTTGATTTTCTTCAATTCTTTCTCCTATAGTATCCTCTACTTTTTCAGATATTCTATTCTCCATTGTAGTAATACGTTCATTATCTTCTAATTTTACAATTGGAATCGCGCTCGTTACTTCTTCTGGTACTGATTCATTTATTCTAAGTTCTACTGGTTCTGTAGGTTCTAATTCCATATCCTCTACTTCTGTTTTTGAGTCTTTACTAAGTCGTACTGGCTTTTCTAATTTTCTTTTTCTGCGTTGTTTAGTATTATCATTGGAATCATCATTACTGAATGTAGGAGATACTACTTCATCTTCTCTATTTGGAGATTTCGATTTTTGTCTATCAGGGGACATACTTTTAACACTTGATGTATCTTTTTCGTCTACTGGCATTACAATAACAGATCCAATATTTTCAGCACTACCAAGTTTTTTATTTCCACCTTCTAATTTTTCTAAAAGGGAGTCTACACCCTTTTTACCTCTTTTTGGTAAACTTTTAGGTGATCTTACACTTGCTTCTTCAACTTTCCGATCCTGTTCTGAAGATAATTCAGTTTTTGAACTATCTGTTACGTCTTTATCGGTTTTAGAAGTAAGATTCACAATTACAGGCAAAACATTTCTTGGCACTTGTGCAATAACACTTAATGTATCTTTACTTTTTGCAACCTCTGGTTCTTTTTTCTCTGGAACTACCCTTTCAATTGTTACACTGGGTGGCAAATTTATAACTTTCTGTGTAAAATTATCTACATTTATTTCCTTTATTTTATCATGAAGATTTGCCACGCCCTTTAAATTGCTTTCAAAATTTTTTACTGTTATTTTAGGCGTTGTAACTTCTTTTGTCGATAATGAGACTGGTTCACTAACGGAATTAGGCGTTGGAACTGAAGAACTAATTCCACTGTCTGATGAAGTTTCTCCATTTAAAGGTATTGGGGGAGAAATTATATTTCCATTTCTACTACCCTTGTCTACATTTCTTGCAGTCAGACTTATCGGAATATCTTGAGATATTCGTGAGTAATTTTCAGGAATAATTTCTGATGTAGAAGATAAATCTAATGTATTTTGAGAACTGGGTGAATTTCTATACTGATTTTGATTCTGCCTATTGTCTACTAGCATTTGTAAACTAAATAAAGGATTCCCTGGTGTATTGGCTGGAGTAACACTTTTTGATGGAACAGTTGGTGTGTGCCATGTTGGAAGTGCTTGAGTATGTGCAAGTTGAGGTGTAAGTTGAGGTGCTCTTGCCATAGACGGATGTGTATAAAATCCAGCTGGACTTAATGCAGCACCTGACAAAGCTGTTGGATGAATGTTTAAACCTGAAACTATTACAATTATTTTCAGTACATAAAAAGATAAAATGCTTATTATTTAATACTAAAAATTATATAAACTTTCAAAAATTACCTTGACCTTGAGTCATTGTAAGATGATTCCAAACTGTCTGAGGTGGAGGTGTACCAACTGGAGGTCGGCTATGTCCTGGATATTGTCCAGACATCTTGAAACTTTTCCAATTACTTAATATTGATTTAAAAACACTTGCAAAATAATATTCTTCAACTTATTTATTTGTCTGAATAAGATTCACTTTTAATACTAATATGTTTTATATTTACAGACAAATATGAAAAAGAAAGATCTTTCTTGATACATGGAAACAATGAAGTTTTATCATTCAAACATTTATCTAAGCAAAACCACTTTCTTGCTCTAAACATTCATTTATTATACAATCTGGATTTGTTTGAAAATTTTTACATAAATTGTATTTTGAAATTTTATGTAATATTTAATTTTTATTATCAGATAAATTACATGGATCCAAAAATTCTAATAAACCATAGCTTATTTTCTTGTACTTTGTGTTATAACAGTTTCCTATATCAAAGGGATGATTTGTTCAATCTAAAATGGCACAATTTTTTAAGATATTTTTGTGTTTGAAATATGGACAGCTTTTCACTTTATCCTTTTTATTATCTTGCAAGTTTTTTTAATTAAGTTAAATAACTTATCTTCGTTAAAAACACGTTGAAAATTGTAAATATTTCTACAGTACTCCAAAATGTCAGATAGAGATTTGTATCATACAATACTCTGTATATTGGATTGTTTTGGCAAGTGATGAAAACAATCAATAATATTACAAGGATTTCTTCTCCCCTTTTCAATAAGCTTTCATTTTTACATATTTTTTGTAGAACTGATAGACAGTTGTAGCTTTGTTACTATTCAATAAATTAGGTGTTTTTATTTTACTATCGTCACATTGACAGGTACTACAACTTTCTTTATGAATTTTAATTGTAGGGTCTAAAAGTTCTGGTAAGCATTTATCAATTCTTCTCTTTTGTGTATCAGAGTTTGTTACTTTTTTATTTGGTACTTGTAAGAAGTATATAAACTGACTAAAGTACGTTGAGTTGAAATCC